TATATATATATATATATATATATATATATATATATGAAACATTTGCTGCTTTATAGATATTATGTATAGTGTTATAATTTTGTACAATGTTTTTATTTCACTTTTTATTCTGATAAAAGATATTTTTGTATTAAACACGCAATTATGGTGTTATCTATCATATCGTTATTTAAGTATTTTTCATGTATGTTGTTAAGGTTTAGTATTTTGCTATCATTAGTTTTTTTGTAGTAAGCACCTGATTGCAGTGCTTTGTGCTGTCTTCTGAGTAAATAATCTTGTTTTTCACCATGATTTATTGGCTTATGTAAAGCAGGACTGCTGTCATGCTACATAAAACTAGATTATCAAATAGCCCATATCAGTCAAGTCGTGCTCTTTGTTACTGTTTTTAGATTTGGTCACCTTATGTGAGTTGTTGGAGAGGGTTCAGAGATGATCTTCTAAGATGATTCTGGGTTATCATATGGGGGATAGGTTTTAAATCTATTAATTTTTGCTGAAGAGGGAAAGACTTTGTGAAGTTATGACTGGAGCTTTTATGACAGTTTGAGGTTTGTAATCCATAAACCCAGATTATGTTTCAATAAAATAATTTGTGTGTATCAAGACTAAAGGACGCAGGTGAGAAGATAGGGAATGCACATAAACGATATCGTTTAGGACAATGCTGCTTTTCTAATAGAAGTATTTAGCTAGTGTAATAGCTTGCTATAAAGTATGGTAGAAACAACAAAAGGGATGTAAAAGGGAAATCCCAGCTGCAGTGAAAGGATTAAGGGGAGAGTGGATGAGTCAGGGTTATATGTAAATGAAAGGGATTTCTTTAGTTTAGAATAGGGTAGTGATAGAAATGAAATGCCTTGGAATAAGTTAGTCATGGCTAGGATTTTCTCAAGTGTGATGTGGAAATCTGGGTAAAATCTTGATGTCTGACAAATACTTGAATGAAATATAAACCAACAGCAGCACCTGCCACGTTATCAAACAACTCATTCCAGTAGTCATTATGCTCATTTGCAGAAGTATTTTGACCTAAATATTGTCTTTCAAAGCTTCAATTTGCTATCCTTGTAAATTCAAAAATACTTTACCTCCAATGTAAACCTTTAGCAATTTAAAAAATGTGAATAACTTCACATGTAGTAGTTATATTTCGATACTGTTAATATCCTTCCTCTAATAAACAACCAAAACTGAATTTCAAACCTCACTAGAGATTTGACAGTGAGAGAGTAATTCTCTTATTCTTGAGTTCAAAATAAGGATCACCTTCTTAATCAGGAGTTCAAAACAACAATAAAAATCTTACTCATGAGCTTAAAACAAGAATAACCTTACTCGTGGGTTTAAAATGAGAATAACCTTACTCATGGGTTTAAAACAATAATAACCTTACTCGTGGATTTTAAACAAGAATAACCTTATTCGTGGGTTTAAAACAAGAATAACCTTATTACTCATGAGCTTAAAACAAGAATAACCTTATTGCTCATGAATTTAAAACAAGAATAACCTTCTTTCTTATGAGTCTGAAATAGGTAGCAATAACCTTATTCGTGAGTTTGAAACATTTGGTTTAAGAGATCACAGAAATAATAACTCACCACATCTGAGTATTTCAAACTTTTGCTTGATTTAGTGATACTGTTCCTTTACTTCAGATCTGAAAGTCTTTACTAGTTAATTTGTGATAGTCTGTTAACAATTTTGTGCTTTTCAAAACTTGCATTCTTATTTCTAGTTCTTTGATAACTAAGAAATGTTTTTCTGTTTGGGAATTTAAACTATTTCAAAGCAAGTTTGGGAAACATTAAGTTTCAAAATATGTTAATTAGAATACTATATTTTTCTTTATCCCAGAAACGTTACTGTAGTCAAAGAAAAGTTTTACAGGTGAATAAGTTCTTAGTATTCAGGTAAAATGTGTGTTACCAGATGAATGTGTGGCTATATTACGCCTTTTTTTATTTATCTAATAGTGCGTTTTAGTTCAGAGTTTACAATTAATTATAAGTATTGGTTGTCAAAGTTTGTAAAATTGAACTTTTTTTGAGGTTCTTACCAACTGTGTATTTAAACATGGATAAATAAAGTTATTCAAAGTATGTTTTGTTGATTTTTATAGACTTGGAAAATGAAAGTATCTTGGTGACATACAGTGTATATTGCTGCAAGTAGTTGAATATTTTGTGATTGTTACACATAAACTGTTGTAGTTATACTTTAACTTTGGGAAGATTGGAAACATTTTATTCATTTGTTTTGATTAATTATTTATTGGTATTAATATGTTCACTGGCCTGATGTTTCATATATTAACATGACAAATGGAATTGCATGGGAGGGTGTTTCCTATTTCCAAAGTTTAGTGCTTTGAACAATCAAAGCCACTGAAATATGTATGTATGTAAATATATATGTATGTGTTCATTAAACATATATTGTGATATATACCGATGTTATTATCTGATGTATAGCAATTTTGTTTTACAGAGTTTTTGATATTTATTACAGGTTATTCTGAACTTACCAGTTCTGTCAGGGATAAAAGAATTTGGGCAAAACCAGGCGATTCAAAATCGTCCAATAGCAAACAAGAGTTTATATTATATCATAATCAGACTGATAATCCTTTTTTGAAGAAACGTCTGTGGACAGAAGTGAATATGCAGAAGGCAATGAAGGCTGTTATTTCAAAACAGATGTCATTATCAAAAGCTGCTTCCTTTTTTAGGGTACCAGTATCTACACTATGGTATAGGGTGCATCCCAAAGAAAAAAAATTATAAGAAATTTCTCTGTTTGGTTTAAGAGGTTAAGTGTGTTGCATGAATTTGTATAGTTAACATCTTATGAACAAATAAATTTATAGTGTGCTAGTTCTAAAAACATCTATCAGTTACTGTTGTGAAGAAAGTGATACTATTGGTCAAATAATGAGGGTGGAACTGTGCAGGTGTGATGATTGGTATTTACAGTAGTTGAGCCAGTGAAGTTTGAATGTAATTTATTATATATTAGTTTTAATGATATTTAGGCTTATTCATAATCATGTTTTATTAGCATTTTGTGAAATTTCATAAATTGTGGATATTTTTATTTGAATAAAAGGATTTAAAAAACCTAACCTACAGTCATGTCAAAGAATACAAACAATACCATTTAACAAAGAAAATAAATTGTAAAGCAAGGAATTAATACAACTACAAGTTTAGCAGTTTGTACTTAAGTCTGCAAGCAAGGCATTAATACAACTACAAATCTAGCAGAATGAACTTATTAAGTCTTCAAGCATGGCATTAATACAACTACTAATCTAGCAGTATGGACTTAAGTCGGCAAGCAAGGCGTTAATAGAACTACAAATTTAGCAATATGAACTTTTTAAGACTGCAAGCAAGGCATTGATACAATTACAAGTCCAGCAGTATGGACTTAAGTCTGCAAGCAAGGCATTTATACAACTACAGTCTAGCAGTTTGGACTTGTTAAGTCTGCAAGCAAGGCATTAATACAATTACAAATATCAATTACAAGTCTAGCAGTATGGATTTAAGTCTGCAAGCAAGGCATTAATGCAACTACACAACTAGCAGTATGGACTTAAGTCTGCAAGCAAGGCATTGATACAATTACAAGTCTAGCAGTATGGACTTGTTAAGTCTGCAAGCAAGCAAGGCACTAATACAACTACAAATCTAGCAGTATGGAGTTATTGATTCTGCAAGCGAGTCACTAATACAATTACAAATCTAGCAGTATGGACTTGTTAAGTCTGCAAGCAGGGCATTAACACAACTACAAATCTAGCAAAATGGACTTGTTAAGTCTGCATACATGGTATTAATACAACTATAAATCTAGCAGTATGTACTTGTTAAGTCTGCAAGCAAGGCATTAACACAACTACAAATCTAGCAGTATGGTCTTATTAAGTCTGCCAACAAGGGATTAATACAACTACAAATCTAGCAGTATGGACTTGTTAAGTCTGCACACAAGGCATTAATATAAATGCAAATCTAGCAGTATGGACTTATTAAGTCTGTCAAAAAGGTATTAATAGAATTACAAATTTAGCAGTATGGACTTGTTTAGTCTGCCAGGGAGGTATTAATACAACTACAAATGTAGCAGTATGGACTTATTAAGTCTGCATACATGGCATTAATACAACTACAAATCTAGTAGTATGGTCTTGTTAATTCTGCCAGCAAGGCATTAATACAACTTAAAATAAGGCAGTATAGACTTATTAAGTCTGCATGCAAGACATTAATACAACTACTAATCTAGCAGTATGGACTTAAGTTGGCAAGCAAGGCGTTAGTAGAACTACAAATTTAACAATATGAACTTTTTATGTCTGCAAGCAAGGCATTAATACAACTACAAATCTAGCAGTATGGACTTGTTAAGTCTGCAAGCAAGGCATTGATACAACTACAAATATAGCAGTATGAACTTAAGTCTGCAAACAAGGAATTAATACAACTACAAGTCTAGCAGAATAAACTTATTAAGTCTGCAAGCATGTTATTAATACAACTACAATCTAGCAGTGTGGACTGGTTAAGTCTGCAAGCAAGACATTAGTACAACTACAAATCTAGCAGTATGGACTAGTTAAAGTCTGCTAACAAGGCATTAATACAATTACAGATCTAGTAGTATGGACTTGTTAAGTCTGGAAGGGCGACATTAATACAACTACACATCTAGCAGTATGGACTTATTAAGTCTGCAAGCAAGACATTAATACAACTACATCTCTAGCTGTATGGAGTTGTTAAGTCTGCAAGCAAGCAAGGCACTAATACAACTACAAATCTAGCAGAATGGACTAGTTAAGTCTGCTAACAAGGCATTAATACAACTACAAATCTAGCAGTATGGACTTATTGATTCTGCGAGTGAGTCATTAATAGAACTACAAATCTAGCAGATTGGACTTGTTAAGTCTACCAACATGGGATTAATACAAGCACAAATCTAGCAGTATGGACTTATTGATTCTGCAAGCAAGGCACTAATACAACTACAAATCTAGCAGTATGGACTTGTTAAGTCTGCCAACAAGGCATTAATACAACTACAAATCTAGCAGTATGGACTTGTTAAATCTGCCAACAAGGCATTAATACAACTACAAATCTGGCAGTATAGAGTTATTAAGTTTGCTTGCAAGACATTAATACAACTACTAATCTAGCAGTATGGACTTAAGTCGGAAAGCAAGGCATTAATAGAACTACAAATTTAGCAGAATGGACTAGTTAAGTCTGCTAACAAGGCATTAATACAACTACAAATCTAACAGTATGGACTTACTGATTCTGTGAGCGAGTCATTAATAGAACTACAAATATAGCAGAATGGACTTGTTAAATCTACCAACAAGGGATTAATACAACTACAAATTTAGCAGTATGGACTTATTAAATCTGCAAGCATGGCATTAATACAACTACAAATCTAGCAGTATGGACTTGTTAAGTCTGCCAGCAAGGCATTAATACAACTACAAATGTAGCAGTATGGACTTATTAAGTCTGCCAACAAGGCATTAATACAACTACAAATCAAGCAATATCAACTTTTTAAGTCTGCAAGCAAGGCATTGATACAATTACAAGTCTAGCAGTATGGACTTAAGTCTGCAAGCAAGGCATTAAAAGAACTACAAATCTAGCATATGGCCTTTTTAAGTCTGCAAGCAAGACAACTACAAGGCTACAATGCCTGTTTTCTTGATAACATTGTTTTATACCTGAAAGCTTCTACAAATAAAATTGTTTTTCACTGAATAAATTTCGGCTTTGATCTTGGTTACTGGGTAATCAGAAATGCTTCATGAAGCTGCTTAGTAATAAAATGCTTGAAATATTACTATACAAGTGGGAGTATTGCAGAACAAGAGATATGTAATAACCTTTAAGAAGAAAAGATGGAGGAGTACCAGAAACAGGTGGTAACGTGATGTAAATAGTAATGCTTACAAGGGAAGATACAGAAAGAGTACCCAAAAGAGGTGATAAAGATATTTAGTATTGTTTGCAATGAACGATCATGAGAAGTGCTAAAGAAATATTTACTGTAATCTTTAAAAGCAAACATGCAATATGAGAAGTACCAGAAAAAGCTGCAAATAGAGGCCTTTGGTAATATTTCATATGGGTAAGATGTCACGAGAGTACTAAAATGAAGCCTATAGTAATATTTCATGTGGGTAAGATGCAGTAGGTGTACCAAAAAGAGGTATTGTTACGTATCTGCTTGTTTGTTAAATTCTGTTAGTGATTCTTTCCGAGGAACTTAAGCAATACATGTCCTTTCTTGAGTAAACCAGTTTATTATTTCTCGATACAAACTTTTAGTACCCAGTAATTCCACAGTCAGTAAGTTTCTAGTCACCTTAAACTTAACTTTTATAATACATGCTATAAATCACAGCGATTCACAATCTCGATATCTTCGCTCTCTACAATACAAAACACACTCTGGCTTGAAACAGAATCGTAAAATTACCCGAACCTCACCGTAACTGCTGTTCACTTTTTCGTACCTCCCCTGCTAGCTCTCTCTGCCAGGCTTATATACTTACAAAGAGACGTCTCCAACATTCGTGAAGTTCCCCGATAATTCGAGAAACTCAGTCACGCATGCGCCAGCAGCTTCATGTGACTTCCTTAGTATTGTTCATCCCAAACAACAGCTACTTACATTAAACTAATAGATAATTAACAATAAAATAAAACCAAGTCTCTTCATTTCAAAGGACGTTTCTTCTTTTGTACTGGTCTCCGTCTCGTTGACTTCTGTTTCACGTAGGATTCATCTGCTCCATCAGGAAATGTCCCATTATCGGTAGCAGTCTCATTTGTGGTAGTAACTTCATTAAGGGCTTCACTGTATTCTTTCTCAAAACCGAGTAGAGTTTCTTCTTTGACAGTGGCTTTTTCAGGTAACACGTCTTCAGCAGCATCATTTCTTCCATTGTTCACTTCGTTCCAACTAAAATATCCTGGACCACGATAACTCTAAAGCCTGTTAGCATGCACCACCTTTGGCTTACCTCGCCGACTACATTTTATTCGGAAAGTCACGTCTGAGAGACGATC